TATATATATATATATATATATATATATATGTGTGTGTGTGTGTGTGTTAAAAGAAAAAAAATAAGGTGTAAAAATTCAAATTATATTTCAAATTACACATGTGCATAAACTAATTGAATATATAATTTTAAAAAACCTATAAAAATAAGTTAAAGACAACTCATGAAACGATCTTAACTTAATTTTAACTCTTTTATAAATTCTTATATTAGAATATATATTTAAACAAAACGTTAAATCAATTTATGAAAAACGTAAATCCTGTCTTTCTTAATATTTTTTTCCCACATTTAATCACTTAACCTCATTTTAAGAATTGATTTTTTAAATTTTTCTAAAAGACTAATAATGTTAACAAAACCCTAGTTAAAACGGAAATTTGTTTTAGGTTAACTATTTATATTGTGAAACTGAACACCAGAATTCAATTTTCCAGACGGGCTTCTGAGGACCCATAACCATAACACCACAAAGCCCACAAAAGGCCCAAAAGAAATGGCTAATACAGTCCAACCGCGACGAGGGCGCGTGTGAAAACCTTCCCAGTACCATTCCGCACCAGCAAGGCAGAAAGCCACGAAACCGGAGAGTAGCCAACACGCGCCACTCCCCTGCGTGAGATAACTTTTCAAATTCCCGCAAACGAAACTCCCCGCCACTAAAGTCCCTCACCCTCCAACATGCGCGTGGGGCTCACTCGCCACGCCACATCGCTTACAATTGGTGCGTTGGGTTCACGCTCGAAAAGCGCGAGTGGGTCCACGTCGCGAATTTTCGGTAATATAATGCTTCCCGGGCACGGCTCTTTGTTGCACCCCAAACGCGTAGCTTGGTCCACGCTTCCCCACGAACTCACCGTTGCCGTACACCTGTGACGATTCGATAAAACGACCAGCGTTTCGAGAAAGAGAGAGAAAGACCCAAAGTTCTAGAGAGAGAAAGGGAGAGAGAGTGTGTGCGAGCGTGTGAGTGGGTTCGCGCGCGCGAGATCTGATCGGGAACAAGGTAATCCAGCTTTCGAAACCCTACTCTGAATCTGTCTCTCGTGATTTTACGCTTCTGGTTATTCGTTTCGGAGAAGGTTCTGAGCGAGCCCTAGGAATTCTGGCGGTGGAAGGAAGCCCTAGGAGTTCTAGGGTTTTGTCTTGCCTTTGTTTTGTTTTTGTTTGTGTTTTTCCCCCTTTTTTGCGTGATTCTTTGATTTGTTGGTGTGTAAAACCCTAGGATTTCGGGGATTTGGGATTGGTGTTAGGATTAGGGTTTTGGATGTATGGCTTCGGGGCCTGTGGTTGGAGGAGATGACGCGGCTAAAGAGAAACAGAGATTTTCGGAGAGGAAGGTTTACACGAGGAGAGTGTTCAGAGGCCGTAAGAAAGACCCTAATGCTGCGGACGATTCTGCTTCCGCCCCTGAAAGTAGTAAAATTGACAACGCTGCCGCCACTTCCACCGTCACGAATGAGAACAGTAACAACAACAGCGCGGTGCAGAACAGCACCGCCGGGGAGGCCAAAAGCAATAGTGATAACGTTTCCACTCAGCCTCAGGCTCTGCAACAGGCTGTGCCAGAGGATGGGAATTTGGCTCAGCCACTAGTGGGTTCTAAATTAGAGGATGGGAATTCGGCTCAGCCTCAAGTGGGTTCTAGATTAGAGGATGGGAATTTGGCTCAGCTGCAATTGGAGAATCAGAATATGGTTCAGGTGCAAGTGGATTCAGAATTGGAGGATGGGAATACGACTCTGCCTCAAGTGGAGGATCAGAATATGGCACAGAAGCAAGTAAGTCCAGTATTGGAGGATGGGAATACTTCTCAGCCACAGTTGGATGATCAAAATATGGCACAGACGCAAGGGAGTTTAAGATTGGAGGATGGGAATACAGTTCAGCCCCAGGTGAGTTCAGGGGCAGAGGATGGGGATACGACACAACCAAATGTGAGTTTAAGGACTGGAGATGAGAATATGGCTCAGCCACAAGTGAGTTCTAGAACTGGGGATGAGAACATGGCTCAGCCACAAGTGAGTTTAAGAACTGGGGACGAGAATGTGGCTCAACCACAAGTGAGTTCAAGATCAGAAGATGGGAATATGTCTCAGCTGCAAGTGAGTTCAAAATCAGATGATGGGAATATGTCTCAGATGCAAGTGAGTTCAAGATCAGAGGACGGGAATATGGCTCAGCTGCAAGTTAGTTCAAGATCAGAGGATGGGAATATGGCTCAGCTGCAAGTTAGTTCAAGATCAGAGGATGTGAATATGGCTCAGCCACAAGTCAGTTCACAATTGGTAAATAGAAAATCCCCTCAGCCAGAAGTGAATTCAAGATTGGAGGATGGGAATTCACCTCAGCAGCAAGTGAATTCAAGATTGGAGGATGGGGTTTTACCTCAGTCACAGATGAATTCAATGTTGGATGGGGATACGGTTCAGCCTCATGTAGTGTTGGTTTCTGATGATTCATGCATCCGGCAGCAGGATGAACCTTCTAGCCTCCATGTTCAGCAGGAGGATGATGGACCTTCAAGCCCCAGCCCTCATATGGAGGCAGTTCCTAGCACCCGACATCTAACATTGGTGAATGGGGATGTTGAGCGACGACAGAGGGATCGAATCAAGATAAACTTGGCCTCAAAATCAAAGCAGGAGATGCGGGAGCTTCGGTGGAAGCTTGAAAATGAGCTTGATGTTGTGAGAAGTTTGGTTAATAGGATTGAAGTGAAGCAAAGGCAAGTTGGTGGATATGGCAACTCAAATGTGCTAGTGGGTGGTGGGATTGATAATGTGGGTGGAGCAAAGCGTGCTCACTCAGAGGTGGCTTCTGCTGGTGTTCCACGACAACTTGCCAGGCCTTTGCACCAGTTAAGTTTGTCAATGTTGGAGAATAGTCAAGGAATCGGTGAAACTGTTGAGAAGGAGAAGAGAACACCTAAAGCAAACCAATTTTATCGTAACTCAGAGTTCTTGCTTGCAAAAGATAAATTTCCACCAGTGGAGAGTAACAAGAAGTCAAAATTGAATTGGAAGAAGCAAGGTGGGGGAGAAATGGGACTTGGTTTTGGGATGGGATCTAAGCTTTTCAAAAGCTGTAGTTCACTGCTTGAAAAGTTGATGAAACACAAGCATGGTTGGGTGTTTAATGCTCCTGTTGATGTTGAGGGTCTTGGTTTGCATGATTATTTTACTATCATTACTCATCCAATGGACTTGGGAACTGTGAAGTCAAGGCTGAATAAGAATTGGTACAAATCACCAAAGGAATTTGCTGAGGATGTGAGACTCACTTTTCGTAATGCCATGACATATAATCCAAAGGGACAAGATGTTCATGTAATGGCAGAGCAGTTATCAGAGATGTTTGAGAACAGATGGGTTATAATTGAGTCAGAGTACAATCGGGAGACAAGATATGGCTTTGATTATGGGGCAGCTCCCCATGCACCTTCGCCATTGTCAAGAAGGGTTTCTGCTTTTACACCACCACCTCTTGATATGAGAAGGATTTTGGATAGATCAGAATCATTGATAAGGACTCAAAAACCCATGAGCATTACTCCATCAAGTAGAACCCCAGCTCCAAAAAAGCCAAAGGCAAAAGATCCTCATAAAAGAGACATGACGTTTGATGAAAAGCAAAAACTAAGCACTAATCTTCAGAGTTTACCTTCAGAAAAGCTTGATGCTATTGTACAAATCATCAAGAAGAGAAATTCAGCACTTAATCAACATGATGATGAAATTGAAGTGGACATTGATAGTGTGGATGCTGAGACTCTCTGGGAGCTTGATAGATTTGTGACCAACTATAAGAAAAGTTTGAGCAAAAATAAGAGGAAGGCTGAACTTGCTCGAGCTAGAGCGGAAGCTTTGCAGCAGAATGCCATTCAGAAGGTAAAGAATATAATTTTTACTTCTAATTGCCAATTCTTACTTTGGTGAGCAATTATTGCTAAATGCTTTCTTTTGCATTCTGCAGAGCCAGGCACCAGCTATGGTGGAGATTCCAAAAGAAACACAAACAGGTAAACTTCTAAGAATCTGGGTTGGTGTTTTGGGATTATTTATCTCAATTATTTTTTTAATTGAAATATTCATCTGCCTGAATGTGTACAGAAGAAAGAAATGTTCCCCAATCGTTTCCTGTGCAAGGGGGTAATCAAACAGATAATGGGAGTAGGTCAAGCAGTTCAAGCAGCTCCAGCAGTGATTCTGGATCTTCTTCGAGTGGTACTTTGATTAACGACTTAGCATTTATTTTACGTGTTATCTGGTCATATTCATGCTTTTGCTGATTGTTGAAGTCAAATGTTCTGTGTTTCTCATTTGTATGCGGTGTTGCAGATTCTGATAGTGACAGTTCCTCAGCATCTGGGTCTGATGCAGGGTCGCAAGGGACCTGAATATGCCGTGTCAGGTGATGTTACAGCCTCTGATGTTTTATCTTGTGTCATGCTCTGTGACCGGTTATTTTTTAGTATGTAGCTTTCAAGCTGATTTTATAACTGAAGAATACTTTTCTTGCTCATGAATGATAGTCTGGTTGAGCACATTGTGTATGTGTGTTGCATATGATCCACTCATATTATGAAATTGAATACCTGTCTAAATCTATACACCTATTCTAATAATAAAGGGGATTGGACTTATTCGTGTAGACATTCTTTTGTCCAATTTTTACCCCCATAACTACTCCTTTTATAAATCACAATTTGTTATTCTTTTTTATGAAAATCTCATTGCACAAACCAGTCATACCTTTCAATTAACCACCCACTACAATCTAAAAAAAAAAGAATTTTTCCCTTGTATAAAAGTGAGTGGTGTTTCTGTTGGTGTTCATAATCAGTTTAGTATTTTTGTTAGGACAAGGTTTAATGCTACTTTTTTTAGTGACTCTCTTATCATTTACTCTTTTTCATCCTCACTTGTTGCTTAATTGTTGTCAACTAGTGGGGTGTTAACCCCTTTGAAGACATACTCCTTTTAAGGTCTGATAAAAGAAAGGGTTTAGACAATTGTACAAAGTCATAAACTTTATTGACCATATTTTGTATTAGCCTCGCAGCAAGATGGCTTTTTATTTCTGTGTTTTCTTACCCATTAAATGTTTTTATTAGATACCTAGACTTTTCTTTGATATCTAATATCATTAGCTTATGTCATCTTCTCATGGTTGTGGGTGGTATTTTCTTCTTTAAAGGTATTTTAAATTTGTTAAACCAACTGTATTGTATGCTAATTATTGTTGTAATTTTGGTCTGGTAATCTATTTCTGTGGCTTTTCTGAAATATCCTGGTGGGCTGATGAGGGGAAAATATTCTGGTTGACTGTGCCTTGGCTTTTAGGAATCATAGGGACTGGAGGGTGTTTCTTTGACTGTTAGATTATATCAGTAGCATTTATCATGATTCATGATCTGATTCCTTCACTATATTTTGTTTCTGCTAATTTTTCTTCCTTGCCTTTTCTTTTGTAGCTTTTGTTTGGTGTTTATTTGTTTGTGTGCATTTGTTTATTCATGTTCTTTTGGATGTGATGGAGTGGCGCTTTCTTCTATATTGTCACATGGGGTTTTCTGATTTAGTTTGTTCTGATCTAACCACTTTTGTTGACTTAAGAGTTAATAATTGCTAGAGCAGAACTGTTTTGTAGGTACTATAAAAGATAGACGAGTTATTCCTGTTTCTTTTATGTATTTGGCAATTTTATTATGCAGTTTTTGTTTTCTTTAATAGTTAGCCAATGCATGTGTGTATCTAGTGTTTCTACTATAAAGTGTTGTGTGGAAGATTGCATTGTTGTCAATATACCTTGAGACTAATAATATCTGTTTTAAATATATTGCATTCAGTCTTGAATATAAGCAAAAAGAAAATGTTGGAAAGCTGCTTTAATTATGGTCACACCTAGCCTGCCTAAGTCATGGCCTCTTTGGGAACTGCTTGAATTGTAGCATCAAGGGTGGTGGTTTAGTTCCACATTGGCTAGAGATGTGGCTTTAAGTATAGATTATAAAATTTGGATAATCTTCACTTTACAAATCGGTTTTATAAGATTGAATTAGATTTTAAGATCAGATCCTAAGATAGTATTAGAGACATAGAGCCTATCCTCCGTTGCCCCTTGCATTTGTCACACTCTTGGCTAGGAGTCCTTGTGTGAGGGGGGTGTTGGAAAATCGATAATTGTGGTCCATGCCTTAGTTGTGGCTTACTTTGAGGGTTGTTTGGATTGCAACTTTAAGGGGGCTGCTTCCTACATTGACTAGAAATATGACTTTAAGTAAAGCTTGTAAGACTTAGGTAATCTTTATTTTATAAGTCAGGTTTTGTAAGATTAAGTTTAATTCAAACTCGAATTTTAGGGATAAATACCTATTATGCTAGTTCCAAATATAAGCAAAGGTTGACTAATTTCACCGTATGAAATGAAACCATTCATAAGTACCTTTCATTTAATTGAAGGTTGTATTTCCAATGAGCTTGTTTTATTTTCGATATCAAGTCCCAATGAATGACAATTTAGGGAACTTTTTTTTATTAATTTCAATTGGATTAGTAAAATTAAATAAAGTAAATTATATTGGCACCTCTTGAGGTTTTGGAAGATTGCAAATACACTCCCTGTTTTTTCCTATCCTTATATTAACTCTCCTTAAATGTTTGGAAAACATGACACCAATGTTTCTTAGACTTTATTGATCTTAATTGTTTGAAGAACATTGCACCGTGTCGCTCTATAAAGGATGATGTTGTAAACATTGAAAAATAGGAGACTGCAATCTCACGAATTTTGGCGAGGCATTAGTATAATTTAAATTAAATATTCTCAACTTTCTTAATTATTGTGAATTTGTTTTTTCTGTCCTCTTATATTTGAGATCAGAGAGAGTATTGAAAGTAAATTTTGTTGGAATAGTAAATATTGGTGATTTGATAAGTTTTTTGTTCGATTTCTTAGCTTGTATGAAAAGCCTTTGGTCCCTGGGACTACTTACAGAGGAACTAATGTGGAAAGGGTATTCTCTAATTTGCAGTGTGTTGCTGTTTATTTTTCACATGATTTGTTTTTAATTTTCTGTACTGCACTCCCCTCATTAGCAGCTTTGTCATTTGTCAAAATTGTAGGGATTAGACTGTACGAATTTATATAGGTGACTTTGAAAAATGCTCTTTCTTGTTCTCTTTTAGTGTACTGTCTATATTTCATTATATAGTGTTGATCTACTGCTAACTATATCATTATTTGTTTTCATTTGACGTTGCAGATCTCAGATATTTAGAGTAGATAGTGTCGTGACGCTTGCCTAGTTTGGATTTTTTGAAGCTTCCGGATTATGGATTTTAATTTTGACAGCTGAATTATAGAGGAAGCATTCTGAAGGCCACCGGTGAGGTTACTGATGCAGCGTGGGATATTTTTTCCCCATTTGTTGGAAGTGGCCTTGTTGAAACACTAGACACGATTTCTTGTATAATATTTGGTAGAATGTGATGATAGTTAGGTAGCTAGTTTTCCGTAGCATGTGTACATTGCTAACTACTGCTGCGCATTGAGTTCCATTGATAACATGTTCTTTAGTTTTGTGCTAGCAGGATCTTGGTGCCATACGAAGATAATATGTAATTCCTTGTTTAAAATCTCATTCCATGTATTTTACAATTGTGAAAATGCAAGGGAGAATCTAATCTTCACTTATCTTTGTATCTAATGACTACCTCAGGTGGTTTCAAGTGATGAGACCCTTCTTGACTTTCAAACTAGTTTTAATTGGCTAAGAAATCTCTTGAATATGTTTTAATGATGTTCGATAGTGATTTGTTTTACGGGTAAATATAGTATTGACAAATGAACTACGGCAACAATTTGTCGGATCCACTTGGCAAATTTTGCAATTCCATTATCAATTTCGATATTATTGAAAAATATAATGTTATAGTATTATATAAATAGATGGTAAATAGTTATTACATTTTGCTGAGTTTTACTGAGCTGTAAATAAAAGAGAGAGTAATTTGGTATTATTAAGGGTGACAGAACATTAGGTGCATTTTAAGTATCCATTATGTAAAGTAAGGATTAATTTTTATTCATTGTTGGAGACCGAGAATGCAGAGTATTTCCTTTTCATCATTGTATCTTTCGTGTTTAAGATTAGGATTCAAATCTTAGTTTTCTCTCAAGGGTCTACTTGTCTGGATTCTTTGGTAAAAGTATTGCTCTGTTCTCTCTGGTAGATTGTTAGTGACATGCGTATGCCCCAGCTGTTGAAGGCTCCACTGTGTCTCTCTTGCTTTTTATCTTCATTTCAGTTTGTTGGATGCTTTCCTTTGCCTTCTTGCGAGTTTTCTGTTTGTCGTTTGTTGATATCTATCTATGTGTGCTCTTTTGGTTTCTTATTGTGAAATTCGGTTGCAGAAAAACAAAATCCAACACTTCAGAATACGTTCTTGTTTCTGGGATATTAGAGAAAGAACAATTATTAATTACAACTGCTCAATGAAATTATGATAACTACAACCCTTCGATGCAGCAGAAGATTTTAGCACCACCGCAGTGATAAGTGATAACTACGCCCTTATATAAGTATAGCATATTCCTAGCCATCCCAACCCAACAACTTCCACCTACTTGTACAATTACAGAATCGGTAATCTAAAAAGGTCCAAATTTTCATTTTTTAAAAAATAATTTTAAAATATTTATATTTAACTAGTTGGATCGCAACACCGTGTCTCTATATTTATTTAAAAATATTTAAAAGTTATTAATATTTATTGAATCAACTGAGATTATATTTCAAAATTTTTAGTTTATAAGAATAATTTATTTTTAATATTAATTTTTATTATTTAAAAATAAAATAATTCAAAAATTACATACGTATAAATATAGAATGGCTGCTTTTATACATAGGAATAGATTCTTAATCTCATTAATAATATGTTTACTATTTTAAATTGTATTGGCTATAAATATGAAAGGACGTAAGATTTTCATAGTTGTCTGACATAGAGACATTAACATATTCTACTTACTATTTTTTAAATAAAAATAAAGAGAAAATGACTTGTATGAGTGGAATACCAAAAGATACCCTAAACATAGGTGAATGTGGAACGATTTGACTTTATTTAAGAAAAAAAGACATAAGCAGTAAATGAGTCACATAATAATAAATACCAAAAAATAAATTTATATTTAGGAAAAAAAAATATAAGAATCAGAAATATATACAAGTTTTATTGTTTACAAATAAGGGTAATGATGATATCACAATCACAAATTAGTAATGCACGTGACCCATTCAACTAGATGACTCATTATTTTATTTTTCCAAGTCAAGAAAATCATCGTCCTATTTTGTTTGCAATTATATTATTTAATTTTTTTTTGATGAGCTATTATTTAACATTTTGAACAACTATGTATATTTTGTAATTGCCTTTTTTTATCCTTTTTGTATTCATGTATCCATGTATCTCAAAAATACCTTTTAAAATCAAATAAGACAACAAAAATTATTCCAATTTAGTTGGGGAAAAAAAATTTCCCATTTTGTTTAAGAAGTTTTGTATTGGAAATAATGTGAAATCAATTTTCAGCATGCTGTATTGCTGTGTCAGATTATCAATTAATAAAAAAATTATTGTCATTGTCAACTGATAAGATTAAATTAACAATCTCAATAATTAATATATTCAATAATTCAGATAATATATTAAAATACTTCAATTAAAATTTAATAATTCACAAAAACTCTACACAATCAATCAATGACATTCCACAAGTAGATAGATATTACTACCAACAACCTCAAAGCACATACATACATTTTCTTAATGTAGGGATTTATTACATTTATTATGGTCGTGATGTATCGATTAATAAAATACAAAAAAGAAAAAGAAAATAGAAACATGCTATTACTCCTATTACTATGTAGAATCACAATCAGATATTCTTATTTATTTACATGTTACCACTTCACAAAACGTGGAACATGCATCTAGGTAGTGCAATGTTAGATTTCCAATTTTCCATAAAACAACTTTATTATAAACATCCATGCAAACTACACAATATTATATTAGTACTACTACTATATATAGAATCACACAAAGACATTCTTATTTGTTTACAAAATCACACAAAGACATTCTTATTTGTTTACAAACTCTATATTCCATAACACGTGGAACTTGTTGCAGCTAAATACTGCATGATAGATTTATCATCAAGCAACATATTATTATGAACATCCATGTAATGATTAGACTCACTAATCAATAGACTCACTAATCAAGTTTCAAGTTTTCATGTTTCCCACTATCATACTCGTGTGGTTCTTTTTCTCCCTCTCCAGCAACAATCACTCTAGTTGTCTCTGCTATTTCTGCTATGGTCTCACCTATGGCATTCAAAACTCCTTCACCCTGATGCTGCACTTTCTGTGCTGGTTTCACCATGTTTTCTCCAATCTCAACCACAGTTTCACCTACAGCTCCTAACACCTCTCTTCCTCCCTCAGTGGCTTTGTCCAGTGGCTTCTTTATTATCTGTGCTGCACTGCCTAGTTTTTCACCAATGCTTGTGTTCACATCTCCTCCACTTCCTTTTCCTTGAAAGCCTTCTCCAATGATGTCTCCAAGTGCTTTCTCTTTCCTTTCACTTTCACCAGTGCTTATTGTGTCCCCAACCCCCTCACCTTGGTTTCCCTCAAAAGTGTTGCTTTCATGTGGCTTTGTAGTCCTTTGTGGAACTTTAGCTACAGTTTGGCCAATGGAGCCATGTTCCCTTTTTCCTCCTTGATCATGTTCTTGTTGCCATTGTCCTCTTCGAAAGCTTTCAGTGGTGGCTTTTGCTAATGGCATCTCCTCAGATTCCTAAGTACAATTGCCAATTTTCAGTCAAGTTACTCAAAAAAAAGTATTCAGCAAAATGAGGCCACATTTTCCTTACATATTGAGTTCTAGAATACATTAATATATTAACTTTGTTTAAGAAATGTCCAAGACTATGAAGTTTTCTGTTTATTTTTTTTCCTCTATAATTTTTAATTGTAAATCCATTTAACAACCGCACATTTTCTCATTCTCAATTTGAGTTTTTCTACTGTCAAGTGTCAACCATAGTTTTACACTTATCTAGAACAAAAATGATAAGGGGCACAAGCATTTTATTACCAGTTAGTTCCATTAGTTCAATCAATCATATTGTTCTACCAGTTTCATGAGGTATAAAACACACACAGTACGTACAATATACAGAATCACTGCACACAAGTGAGAAGATTTAAGGAGTTTTATCATTAGAGTATGAGAGAAGTGAATTTTTACCAATTGGATCAAATCATGAAAGATTGATCAAAATGTACAACTTACAACTTTTTAAGCATTTAATGTATAATTATAACATAAGATTTGGGGAATGCTTCGGTGCCCTCTTATTTGAAGGGGTTTTGGTGCCTCTCAGTACAAAAGTTGGGTTTTTAGGGGCAATAAGATAAATTGATATTATTGCCCCTAAAAACCCAACTTTTGTACTGAGAGGCACCAAAACCCCTTCAAATAAGAGGGCACCGGAGCAATAGCCATAAGATTTACTATTCTAACTTGAGATGCAAGTGAAGAAGTTTCCATCTTTACCATCATTTAAATACACTCATAATTAAATGCGATATATAAACACAATTACACATAAACTAGTAGAGCCACTGATAGAAATAACCACCTGATTTTGAGCTTCTCTTGTGGCCTCCAAATCCCTCTCTGCATACTCTTTGGCATTCTCACCAGCTGCAGCAACTAAACCTTTAGCAGTATCCACTGACATGGCTGCAAGCTCAGAAACCTTCTCAGCTGCATACTCAGCTGCTTCCTTAACAACATTAATTCCCTCCACAGTCATCTCAGCAGAATAATGTGCAACACTCGATCCTGTCACCACAGCCTTGTCCTTCAAATCTTCAACCACTTTGGCAGCACTCTTGCCAGTTTCAAGAGTAGCATCTTTGGCTTGAGTTGCTTTATCTCCAAGATACTGAGAAGCGGTGTCACCTGCAGCCTTGGCCTTCTCAGCAAGTGGTGTGGTGTGGTGCACAGTACCAATGGTGTCCTTTGTTGCACCATAACCCTTCTCATCTTCTGCTTCAGGATTGCCTTGTTGACCCTTGTCTATTGTGACATCTTTTGCCTGTTGTGTTGCCTCCTCATTTGCATGCATGTTTCTCTCTTTGGAAGAAGCTTCACTTGCTGCTTGTTTTTCTCTCTCATATCTCTCCTTAGCATCTTCAATCGCATTGATTGATTTTTGTTGAGCTTCAGCTCTGTACTTGGAAATCTCTTCCAGGCTAGATTGTTCTTTTTCTTCTCTTCTCTGTTCCTCAGCACCACCCTATCATAAACCAACAATCTCAGAAGGTTAAAATTTTTTGTGAAGACACTTTGTGTTGGTACAATTTTATATGACTTTTTAATATGTTTAAGCTTGAAGGGTTAATGAAACACAAACTCATCATTTTATTTTTAAAAAGTGAGATCCAACTTTAGACCGAGTCTAGTTTAGTAGACAGAGTCTATTTGGATAGAAGCTTCAAGAGAGAGAGCTTATATCCAAAGAGGTTATAGGCTCAGTTGGCATATAAAGATTTTTTACCTCTTTGGTTTCAGCCTTTTTGTCTTTTGCCTGTGGTTTCTCCACATTTTCCTTCAAGTTTCTCTCTTTGGAAGCTTCGTTTGCAGCTAGTTTTTCTCTCTCATATCTCTCCTTAGCACCTTCAATTGCATTCATTGCTTTTTGTTGAGCTTCAGCTCTGTACTTGGAGATCTCTTCCAGGCTAGGTTGTTTATTTTCTTCTCCTGTTTCTTCTCTTCCTCTTCCATGTTCCTCCCCTCCTCCCTATCATAAACCAACATTCTCAAAAGGTTAAAATATTTTTATGAAGACACCATGTATTACCAAAATTTTATATTACTTTTTAACATGCTCGCTTCAAGCTTGAAGGTTTAGTAATACAAGAATTCATCTTTTTATATAATAAAAAAAGTGAAAAAGAACCAACTTTAGACTATGAATTGACTATTGAGTTTGGAGTACTAAGTCATAAAGGCTCAGTTAGCATACCAAGAATTTTTACCTCTTTGGTTTCTTTAGCTTCCTCTTTTGTTTTTTCCAATGGTCTTGCTTTCTCTGCCTCTACTTTTCCTCTTGGACTGTTTCTTTGTTTATCCTCTTTGTTCCACTCTCTTCCCACTACCTCTCTTGTTCTTTCTTCAGCCATTTTGTCTTTTGCCTGTGTTGACTCCTCATTTGCCTTCAAGTTTCTCTCTTTGGAAGCTTCACTTGCAGCTTGTTTTTCTCTTTCGTATCTCTCCTTAGCACCTTCAATTGCACTCATTCCTTTTTGTTGAGCTTCAGCTCTGGGCTTGGAAATGTTTTCTAGGGTAGATTGTTTATTTTCTTCTTTTCTTCCTCCTTGTTCCTCACCACCACCCTATAAATCAACAATCACAAAATGTTAAAAGTTATAGGTGAACTGAAAATACTTTGTATTCCTGTAACTTCATATTACTTTCTCACGGTTGCTGTTTTCTGTGCGAGGCATTTGCTGAGAAGCCATTGTTTTTCTCTCTCTTGAAAACCTTTACACGGAGGGGTTTGCATGCGTACGTGGTGCTTAAAAAGAAGGGGTGTGTCGGTTTGAAGAGGTGGTGGTAGATGAGGTTTGCATGGGGAAGGGACAAGTGGCACCATGCATTCTGGCTATTACAACGTGGGAGAGTGTTGCAAACCAATCGTTATGTCACTCATCTTTAGCATGCAAATAACACAACACAACCCTTTGAGGTATGTATTAATTTTTTTGTTAATTAAAATATTTTTTTAATAGGATCAAATGCATTAAATACAAATTATTTAAAGACACAATTTAATTGATTAAAAGAAAAGTAAACATTAATTAAGAGAAACTACAATATAAAGATAATTTAAAAGAAAATTATAAAATAAAATCAATTTATTATTTTTAACTGTATTAATTATTTTTTTTAATTTTGATAAATTAAGTATTTAAATTTTATATAAAAATAAAAGTAATATTATTTCAGAGTGCAAGTATCATGAATTAAAATACTATTTTCGAAAAAGTAATATTGGAAATGTAGAATTTTTACATTTGTTTCAAGTTTTAAAAATATATTCTTCGATGCTATTTAATTTTAGAAAAGTATCTCATATTTTAGGTCATTTTGATTTTATGTTATAGGATAGAAAAATTATATTAATATAAGAGTGTGAGAAATTAGTATCCAACTTAACTATAATTTCTATTTTTTTATTTTAATCATTTTAAATTTTAAAATATTCTTAACAGTGTTTAAATTTAAACAAATTAACATTTTTTAAAATATTTCTGAAAATAAAGTTGATGTTATATTAATTTTGAGACTATAATTTCAAAAATTCAAGTGACAATATCATTGCATGAAACAAACACTAGGTCAAACACTATAAAAAAAATATTACATATAAAAAATGTTATTATAGATATAATATATATAAGTATAAATTTATTTGATATATATTTATAATAATTTTAATATTAATTTTAAATAAGGTTTAATAATATATTTTAAATTTGTCTTAAGCATAATAATATATTAGGCCAATCTTGTATATAATCATTATAATGTATCATATGAGTGAGTTAACGTATGACATTAATAACTAATTACTTGTTCAAACTGTCAACTATAGTAGTGAACCGAGAAAAAATTGAATTAAGCGGAAGCGGAACATTTTCTTATGTGTTTCTCATTTAAAACAAGTTAATAATGCAATTCTTTTAACAAAATTTAGGGATAACACTAAGAGTGATCAAGAGAGGAAGAGAAGGATTGACATTATAATCTTGGCTTTATAAAGGTGTAAGAAACTTTAATTAATTAAAAATATTTCGGACAAAATTTAGATATACTCCTCAATTTAATTGGTGCAATTCTTCAATCATAATTAAAATTTAAGCTCCGTAATATATATATATATATATATATATATATATATTAATAAAACCTGTTTAAAATGCAAACATATATTATTAAGATAAAATTCTAATTTTAATGAAAAACACTTATAAAAAAAGCTGTATCTATGCACATTCTTTCTCAGAACACCTAAATTTTTTTGCCAGAACTTTAAGCTAAGTATTTTGGCAAGCAGAGATTAATTGCATCTGGCTCTACCATTCTACATTTCCCAAGTTGGTCATTTGGGTGCCAATCAAAATCCCAAATAATGGAGAAAAAGATTGCACAATAAACATCACCAATCATGCACTGGTTTGTGAATTTAGAATAAAGGAGAAATAAAAAAAAAACTTACAATAATGTGTTAGAAAAATAAATTTAATAGAGCACAAGAAAAATAAATATTTAAATTTATCAATGAAATCAATATCAATAACACAATGAATATTATAAAATTAAAACAGAGCAATGAATAACAACTAATTAAACACAAAGAGCAAATTAAATAATAGGTTTAGAGTAGCCTGAGTTGAAGCACGCAGAGCGCTATCCTTAGAGAGAAAACACCCCCACTGCACAGGTAATTTAGAGTCTTAAAGTGCGCTCCTTTCCCAAGATATGTCAACCCGTTAGACCGTTCGAGTGCAGCGAAACATCCCCGAACCAAAGAACACCGCTCCAAAATTAGAATTTTGTAGTAGAAATAATATTGAGGGAGAGAGATCAAAATGAACTTGCTGTTTGTTTTCTGATTTTTCATGCCCTTTCTCACATATATAAATATATATATATAGGCACACTATGCACCTCTTTTTTTTTTTTTTCCCGGCCACAGTACGTGCTAACCGTTTTTAAATTTGTTTTTTCAAAACTTTGGAAAAAGAAACCAGTGCACGTACTGTGCTAAAAAATAGGAAAAGGAAAACCCGTGAGTCTTGGTCAACGTTGGAAAACGTTTTTGGTTTTGAAACGTTATAAAAAAAAGATTAATTATATTAAATATTTAATTTAAATTTTAAATTATAAAATAATTTTTTCAACATAATGCATACTAGAAATTCCTAAGAAGAAGACCTTGGTTTGTCGATTGACGTTTCTCTCGACCTACTTATTATCCCAATGTTGTTAGCCCCTTGTATACAATAAAACGGTTCATATAATCTTTGTTCAACTTATTATTCATTTGAACAAAGTCCCACGTACCTGTCATGAATTTTTAACATATCACCAAAAGTTAGCATCATTGAAAATTAATTAACCACAGGAATAGGAAACTATATAATATACGAGGGTGATTTGAAACAATGATCTACGGTTGTGCATTTCCAGTGATGGCCCACCAGTGCCACGTGTTGAAGAACAGCACGTCCATCTCTATCCAAGAGTCACCTTCTTGATTGAGTAAAGAGGCATGAACCATCATGCATGATCCATTTGACATTCCTACGATTATACTATAGGTTTAATTTTTTCAATGATTACTTATTTACTTATTATTTAAAAAATTAGTCACCATCATTGAATATTATCTGATGTGATATCAAATATTATTAAAATTGTGCTCTAATAAATTTACATTTCCCAAAATTATTGGCTTAATGTTTTTATCTTTTGTGGGTATTTTATTTATAATATCCATGACAATATAGAATGACATGCTTGCAAAGAAAGATTGCTACTACAATACATTGATCATGGAAAACCATGGTGCACTGTCTGAGACCAAGTATTCATATGACGTTTTCCTTAGCTTTAGAGGCAAAGATACGCGTCACACGTTTACTTGTCATCTCTATGATGCTTTGTGTCGGAAGGGAATTATCACCTTCATGGACGATGTGGAACTGAAGATTGGAGATCAGCTTGCTCCTGTGCTTCTTAAAGCCATTGAAGAATCAAGGATTTCCATTGTTGTTTTCTCTGAAAACTATGCAGCCTCTTCATGGTGCCTTGATGAACTTGTGTGTATCAAGTCGAAATGTGAGCACGTTTGGCCCATCTTCTACAAAGTGGATCCCTCATATGTGAGGTATCAGAAAGGAAGCTATGGTGAGGCCATGACTAAGCATGAATCAAGGTTTGGGAAAGACTGTGACAAGGTGCACAAATGGAGATCAGCCTTGACTGACATAGCCAACTTGAAAGGAGAACATTTGCAATCAGAACAAGGGTAAGTGTATGTGTGTGAATGCATGTGTTGACTTTATGTTATGAAGTATATATATCTGGTCTTGCACTTATTATAAAGTTTAAATAACTAAGATTAAGAAAAGTTAGTTGTCTTAGTTATGATCGATAAATATATCTTAAATTTTTACAACTTTTCAAAACTATTCTTAAATTAGAAATACTTAATATGTGTTTTCAAATTTTTTCACTCTAAGGACAAAAGAATGAGTTATTATTTTTATTTTAAGAGATAAATTAAATGAATTTTACTCATTTGTTAAATTTTGTAAATGTATTTAATAAAGGTGTATTTTATAAATAAAAATTTAATGCTTGAGATTTAGAAGATTGAGTATTATGAAAAGGACTAAATCAATTAGAAATATTGAATTCTACAATAAGGACATGAGATACTATTAAGTACTTGTTAATTTAAGGCAAGAGTATTTATAGGATGATTGTTTGTGGTGTGTTTATATAATTTGACAAAAATAATTTGATGATTAATTTAAAGAGTATTGTTTATTAGGAAGGACGAGTCTAAGTTTATTGATGATCTTGTTGACAAGATTTTCATTAAAGTATCTCCAAAAGATTTATCTAGTAATGAGCATATTGTTGGACGGAAGTATCGAGTTGAAGAATTGAAGTCGCTTTTAGATCTTGAGTCTCGTAACGTCACTTGCTTGTTAGGGATTCATGGGGTAGGTGGAATTGGAAAAACCACACTTGCCAAAGCTTTGTATGACTCCATTTACAAGCATTTTGAGAGTTCGAGTTTTCTTTCCAATGTTAGAGAAACCTCAAAGCAAAAGGGCTTCAAACATATGCAAGAACGACTCCTATCAGAGATACTTGAAGTAAAAAAAATCAAGTTGAAAAGTATTGAAGAAGGAACTAGAGCAATAAAAATTAGACTTGGTTTAAAAAGAGTTCTTATAGTTCTCGATGATGTTGATAACGTTGAACAATTGAAAAAGTTGGCAAAGGAACGTGATTGGTTTGGTATTGGGAGTAGGATCGTCATAACCACAAGAGATAAGCATTTGCTAGATTTTGGTGGGGTTGAAAAGAGATACGAAGTGAAAGTGCTAAATGAACAAGAGTCTTTAGAGCTCATTTGTCAGATTGCCTTTAAAAAAAGTTATCCTGAATCAAACTATGAAGATTTGTCTTACCGTGCAATGCGTTGTTGCAAAGGCCTTCCATTGGCCTTAAAAGTACTAGGCTCTCATATGATTGGAAAAGATCTGGGTGGGTGGAAGGATGCATTGGATAGATATGAAAAGAATCCACATGAAGATGTTCAAAAAGTTCTTAGAATAAGTTATGATAGTTTACCTTTCAATGAAAAAAATATTTTTCTTGACATTGCATGCTTCTTCAAAGGGAAGAGATTGGAATATGTAAAAGAAGTATTAGATGCATGTGACTTCTGCTCTGGGGATGGCATTACAACATTAGTTAATAAATCTCTTTTAACTATTGACTATCAATGTCAATGCTTGGAGATGCATGACCTATTACAAGACATGGGTAGAGAGATTGTTAGGGAGGAAGCGTGGAATGAAGTTGGTGAACGTAGCAGATTATGGCATCATGAAGATGTTCTTCAAGTACTAGCTGATAATAATGTAAGAATTTTGTCGACTTTGTTTCTTGATTTTTATCATCTTTTAATATTTTAGTTTGTGTTAAAATTATGCATACTTAATTAATGCCATTTGCAATTGTTTCAAAGGGAAGTAGACAAATTCAAGGAATAATGCTTGATCCTCCAAAAAGAGAAGAAATTAATTGTATTAATACTGTATTTGAGAAGATGAAAAATCTTAGAATTCTCATTGTTCATAACACAAGTTTTTCACAAGAGCCTCGTTTTCTCCCAAATAACTTAAGGCTACTTGATTGGAAGTGCTATCCTTCGCAGTCTTTCCCATTAAGTTTTTATCCAAGGAAAATTGTGACCATCAATTTAAGAGGATGTCCTTTACTCGTATTGGAAAAGCCATTTCAGGTAAAATTTCTTTTCATTTTCCATGTTTTATAGAAATGTTTTAATGACTCAAACTTATCACATAACTTATCTTAATTTTTTACTCTACAATTTGTATGCCTATGTTGAAAAAAAAAATCTTTTCTTTATAGTCAACGATGAGATAACACACAAAAAAAACCCAACATAATAAGAAAAAGGAAAGATCACAAAAAATTGTTAATTAATTAATTTGTGTATGTTTTGCAGAGATTTGAGCATTTGACTTCTATGGATTTCTCTAATTGTCACATGATTACTAAATTTCCTGATGTGTCTGGCACAATGAATTTAAGAGAACTGAGACTTGATAAATGCAAGAACCTAGTTAGCATTCATGAATCAGTTGGACATCTTGCTAACCTTGTTTTCCTAAGTGCTTCTCAATGCACTCAACTTCAAAGTTTTGTGCCAACAATCTATTTGCCATCTCTCAGACACCTCTCCTTTAACTCATGCAAAAGACTCACACACTTTCCAAACATCATGGGAACAATGGATATGCCATTAAAGATTCATATGTTTGATACAGCTATTGAAGAGCTTCCAAAATCCATTAAGAAACTTATTGGGCTTAATTATCTTGACATGACATATTGTATGAGACTCCAACATTTACCAAGTAGCTTATTTATGTTGCCAAACTTTGTCACGTTACATATTGGAAGATGTCATCAACTTCGAGAGTCATTTAGAATGTCCAAAGGAAACCATTCAACATGTCCTAAATTAGAGACATTACATTTTGAGGATGCTAATCTATTAGAGGAAGATATTCACATGATTATTTATAATTTTCCTAACTTGAAGGACTTAAATTTATCATGGAACAACTTTGTGTCTCTCCCAACATGCATTGAAGAATATACTAAGTTGACATGTCTTGACGTAAGTTATTGTAAGATGCTTCGAGAAATTCCAGAACTACCGTCAAGTGTTGAAAAAGTAGATGCAACACTTTGTAATTCCTTAGCTTCGGAGACATCAAACATGTTATGGTCTCAGGTTTGCTAGCATTACTTTTACAAATGTGTGTGTGTATACACTCACTCACTCATAAACACACACACACACACACATATATATATATATATATATATATATCTATA